GCCTTCTTTCACTGGCGCTCGTGCCGACTCCGGCCATTTCGACTGGCCGACTCTCCGCCTTGACAGGTCCGTGAGACGGTGCCACTGGCCCGCCTGGCAGGTGACGTCGGAAGAGCCGACGTTCGTTCGTGGAGGGATCATGTCGGTCTGTCACCGAACGGTGGGATGGAAAGGTGGTGTTCGAGTTGCATTCGAGTTCTTAACAGATCTTTGTATGAAAAAAGTCCGTGCATTGTTTTGCCAAGTTCAAGCATGTTTGACATTGTTTTTGAGATGTCCGGACAAACTTGCATCAACAATTAGGATTCATGACGCAAGCGGTTTTCATTTGTGGTATAAGGTTCAAAGAGTGGCACGTTTGGGAGCAGCAACCCAGAAACGGAGAGTGGTTCAGCCCATGCATTCAGTGCGCCGGAACCACTAGTCTGAAACGAGGAGCTGCTCAATGCACACAACCCCACGACACCGTCTCGTCATTCTTGGGAGCAAAGGCTGCTAACAACTAAGCCACGTGCCTTCGCGGCCGGGACTTCCCTTCCAAGATGCATTGTAATTCAACAATTTGTACCTGGAAAGATTCACATGAAACCTGAAAATGGACCATGTGGGGTTTTCAGGTTATACTTTAATCTTCCCGGGTGACCCTGATAACCCACGATTTTCGGATGGTAAGGTGATCACCTTCTGATCGACATCTATTTAGCAGGGTTGTCCCGGCCGCCAACTCTGGGTGAAAAAGGTACGGGGCAGGAGAAGGCCACAACGGGAGATTCAATTGAGCCAAATAAAGAGATCAAAATCAAAATGAGTATTGTCAAAGAACACGAAGAGATGCACTGCACAGGATGCCAACGGCTCCCCGGCTTCTCTGACTGACTGAATTGGCTCCGGTGTGACCTGTAGCCCGGCAGTTTGCCCCGCATGTCCGCTGCCACGGATTGCCCCACGTAAACTGCCCCGTCGGCCCAACAGGTTCCACATCTCGAGGCTGTTGCGAACTGGACGGTATGAGTGTAACAAAGACAGCTGTTTCTTTTCTTTACATAATTTATGTTGATTTCTTTTGCTTTGATTGTTGGTGGAAATGTGAAGGCTGACCGACATCTCCCAGTGCGTGTTCCGGGATTTCCTAGACGAGGAACACGCCGCCCATTGCAACATCGTCCGGTCTACGTCGGCAGACTCAATGTCATGGAAACTGCCAGAAGCGCTCTCCGAACCTCGCGTGGTTTATCTCAGAATTTCTCAGATGGTCGCAGGTTCCGCGGGTGGGCTCTACTCCGCGCAGTTCTCACCAGATGGGCAACACATCCTGATGCTTGGTCTGTGATGTGATGGAGGGCACTGCGGAGGAGTCAAAGACAACATGATCCTGTGGTGATGTGGGCAAACACAGGGGTTACTCCTCTAGCAGAAATAGATCCAAGACGGGGGCGAACCGACATGGGTTCCATGACACGGGTGGTACCTCCCTAAAAGACATTATATGGCATTGTTTAATTGTTTTAGTGGCGTGTTGTGGTTGTGGTTGTGGTTGTGGTTGTGGTTGCGGTTATGGTGGTGGCTTTTGCTGCTGCTGCTGCTGCTGTGGTGGTTGTGGATGTGGTTGTGGTTGTGGATGTGGTTGCGGTGATTGTGGTTGTTGTGGTTGTGGTTGCTGTTGTTGTTGTTGCTGCTTGTTGTTGTGTTTTGTAGTTGTTATTATTGTTGTTGTTTTTTGTTGTTTTTTTGTTGTTGTTTGTCAGTTGTCGTCGTTGTTGTTGTTGCTGTTGTTGTTGTTGTTGCTGTTGTTGTTGTTGTGGTTGTCGTGGTTGTCGTTGTTGTTGTTGTTGCTGTTGCTGTTGTGGGTCGTCAAGACGTGTTGCTGAGGCAAACCGGGCCGTTCTGGTTAGCATGGCCAGGTGGCAACACCCTAAGGTCGCGCACCATATCCTGGGTGAGCAGCATAGCAACGGTCCTGTGGACAGACTGTTTGGCTGGGTGCGCGCTTGGATTGAAGCATTCCTCGCAAGACCGCCCAATATATTCCTTGGATATCTTCTTTCTTGCTACATAGTGAACACCGATCCATCAGGCCCAAAGTTTCACATCGTGAAGTTTGATCCAGGCGAGAACCGCAGCCAAGGACTTTCTTTCACTGCCCCAGTTTCATTGCAACCAGAACCTACAACTTGGCAGCTCGAAGAAAAGTGGTTGCTCATGGCATCCAGGTTGCCAATCGCCTTTTTAGCGATGTTGCGGACACTGCTCCAGACTGAACCATTTGCTCAATGCTGGAGTTGAAGGCAGATGCGGAAGTGAAACAATCGAAGGCTGACGTCACTGATGACAAGGCGAAGGAGGATCCTTGCATGGAACCGTGAGAGGGCAAAACTCCTACTCCAACAGTGTTGACAGCATGGTTCAAAAAACGATTGATCGGAAGGCCCTCAACCAACGCAACCTAAGCCTTAGACACCATCAAGCGGATATTTCCAATATCACGTATTGAAATAGTCATGCCAACCAGCTCAACTGGCAGGCTGGCTTTGCAGCAACCCGTTCATTGTCGAACAACGCGTTCACTGTCGCGCGGAGAAAGCTGGGTACCAGGACAGGTGAACCAGCATCGAGATGAGGAGTGGGCTTCTGTCCCGGGCCCGGCTGCAGCCAAGATGCAGAACATCTGCAGCGAAGAAGTGCCGCCAAGCGGCCGCTCTGAAGCCTACATCTTCGAGCTTGTCATAATCTTCATTAACGGCTTCTGCGTTTGAGTATAGGAACATAAAAGTCTGTGCTTTTTGTCTGCCATCTGCTCGCGTAGGCCACCCTCGCATAGGCGTCCGAATCGATAAAGCCCATAAGGAGCTCATGGAGTGCAACCCTGCACGCGTCATGACCCAATTGCCTTGCCCGGGGGACCCATGGTCGATTTCATCTTGGGAGACTCATCGATGGCACTGGTTGATGAAGCGGTTTACGCTGACTGTACACCCCAAAAGATCATAAAAGATCAAACGCAACGTTGGCGAATACCTCAAAGAGGGCGGGCCTTCACTGTTGACAGACAAGTGCGGTTCGGTCCATTGCTCCCTCCACTGGGGGAAAGGGCTCAAGCAGATTATTGACGGCATTGAATTCTGCCTGGAGAACAAAAGACGTCTGGGAGACGTTGCAGCGGTCATCGTGGTTAGCTATGCCGGACACGATGTGTATACGGCAATCACGGATTCGTTGAGAATCCCTGGGTGGATACTAATGTCCTTCACCGCAATCCCGCGAAACAGCGGGCGGCCTATGCATGGCAAGCGCAGCTGGCTGAGAAGCGGCCGTGGAGCAAAAGCCTTTCTTCAATGAATTCAACATAGCTAATACATACTTTAACGATCCACTGCACACGATGTCCTCTCCAACAGGGTGATTTTGGAAAGTCACAAAGGCCCACCATCAAAATGCCAGGAGCCATGAGGAAGTCAGCTGCTTTGGCTGCAGCTTCTGGTTGTATCATATTTTGTGGGCTCACAGCCTGGCCGTTTTTACCACCCTGTCCGGCCTGGGCTTTTGCGTGCAGGGCAGGCCTTCCACACCTTTGGCCCTGGCCTGGCGGGTTTCGAATCTGCCGTGTGGCACCCTCTCCAGCCACATTTCTACACAGAGCAACATGGGCTATAGGCTATGGCGACGCACGAACGAGGAAAGTCCCCGCGGACGGAACCTTTTGCAATGGTACAGGCGACATGCGTAGCATTATGCGTAACATCCTTTATTGTAGTGTACAAGGTTTAAGAACCAAACAAGAACTATTCACATGTCCCAATGACTGAGTCGAATTCAATGGGTGGGCGTGAAACATGCGTGTGATGTCAGAAAAAAACTGTTTTAAAAGGCCACCAAAAGCATCTAAAAGTCAGCAATTACCATAATTATATATATATATGAGTATGATGTTCTCATGTGAGGAATTCTCCATCAGTTCCATCCAGTCCCACCTTAGCGCAAGCGGTTTCCTTGCTACACCATTGAAATCTTCACGTGTGGCCAATCTCGCCTGCATGTTCTGCATCGATTGGACGCTGTGTGCTTCGGTGTTTGTGGGGTTTGTGGGTGACCACCTATTCCCCAACAATCCATGTATCCCAGACAAATGAAATCCTATATACCAGACAGTTCTCTGTGACCGCTTTGGTTTTTTCTGTGAAGTGACCGCGATGAAAGGGTCACTTATCGAAGAGGTCACTTGCATGATTTTCAAAGAGGTCACTTACCTCATAACGAGGTCACTTAAGAACCCTTGATTGTGGCATTGGGTCCACTGAGTGACTTAGCCTTCAATCAAAGAACCTCATGGCATCCCATGGCATCCATGGTTGAGGATGTACTCCAATAACTCTACAACATAAAATTCTGGTGTGGTCCACGAGGCCATCTATAAACACTAGGGTTGGGCCAGGTTGGGAAACCTTCATCCACCCCCCTCCCATCCGATTTCCGCACGCCACTCACCCCTGGTCACGCACGTGGACACCGACATCTTCATCGGTGTCATCCAGCAGCTTCCAAGGAGACATGGGCAAGGGTTGAAGCTTGTTGTGGGGCAGCTTCGGGCTACAAGGTTTACTGTATGATTGTGTCCCATGTCATCCTTGGTTCAAGACCCTTTGCCATCTCAGGCAGATAAAAGCACAGTATCTATTTAGAACTTGCAGTTCAAGGTGCCGTGCACTTGCTTTTGTACACATTGATTTCACCTTTCCAACCATGTCTTCATCTCCATAACATGCAACCCAAAGCGGGTTAACCTTTCTGCACTGGTCATAGACTATGTGTTCTAGTCGGTGAAGCTTGGGTCGCAGTTTCCACAACAGGCGCGATTGGGACATTGCCTCACTGGCCAGCGCATTCAAAGCACTGTGGTAAAGGTAATTGCACTCCTGCAAGAAGGGAACACCACAAGTCACCAAACCTTTGCTTTCAAAAACATTGTCGACATAAATTGGTATAAGCTTGATCATATGCACTCCTCAAGCTGGCGGATTCTGTCTTCCGCAAGAAGTGCACCTTGTCCAGACATTGCCCTCCGCATGCCATACAGATTCACGAACACAGCTGCGCGCAACCTTGCACGATGGAAATCTCACACGAGAAATTAGAAATGCTCCACAATTTGGATCACCACTCCCAAATGCAGCAAAAAAACATAGCATGCTCGTTTTCCGGCTCCTGCTGAACGATTCCCAGGCAAACGCCCATTAGCCACTTGGCTAGCACAACTGATTCCTCGGATCATGCCACTGCGCATCCCACTCATGGTGCAAAATGGTGCAAACATGTCCATATTGCTGAACCATAGAGGGCCCTAGCTTCCGCAGCATTCATGTGTTTTTGTGCCAGGGTAGGATATTCTTTTCCTCCTTGACAGTGTAGGTGTTTCCTGAGTTAAATTGTGGAGCGGGACCTTGAAAAAAACAAAAGTCTTCAAACATGTGCCACCACCCAGACACACACACACACATGCACAGGACTTTTTCAAAAACAAGCCACAGTGAGAAGACACGCCCTTTGTTTCCTGAGGATTTGGGTGCATTCTCTAAAGGATCGATATCACACTAGGCAATCCAAGAGCTAAGTCCAATTCTAATCTTGTGTTCTCGACATTGCTTCACAAACTGCACATGTGCACAGCGAAGCCGGTCATCAATATTGGCACCTGCACATGTGTATGTTGTTGTGTCGCAAGTGGGGTCGGAAATGAAAAAGGATGCTAGTTAGCAGGGACCTGGCCATATGTGGTCACTTTCACATAACTCCAGTAGTGCCTCATGCCAGGCATGAGCTACACACAAACCTTTTCCTTTTGGAAAGCGAACATACGATGCAGCGGCTCTTATGAAACCAAATGCTGACGAAACACTGAAGCAGCTGCCTCTGGGACAAGTGTCAAATCAACAACATGAAGCCAATCTCCTGAAACAACCTCGATGTGCCAGCCGCTGAGGTTGGTCCACGGGTTGTATCGACATCCATTGGCAAACTCATCACTGGAAACCTGAGATATCCAAACCAAAAAGGGACATATCACTGTACAGCTCAGCGCACTATACAAACTGGTGCAAAAAAGAAGCGCGTGTTTGTCTGTGTGGAGCTGACTTCCCATGCAAAGTGTAACAGCAGGGGCCAGCAGCAGAGGTCGCAGCACAAAACCAACAGGGATGGGAACTGACCCAAGACTTCTGTGGATGGTATGCTCTTTGGAGATATTTATCATCTCCTTTATGGCAGGTCAGAACTGCCTTCCATCCACAAGCAATGGGAAGGCCAGCTTTGTGCTTCCGGGATTCAAGTGGCCTTTGCCATGGGTCTGTTCCAGACCAAACACCCTGCTGGAGCTCTTCGAGGCTCCAGCATAGCCAAACATCTAGCATGTCCCATGTGGCGTTGCAACAACGCTGGTTGTCTGTGACATAGACCAGCATACGGCTGTCCCATGGTGACTTTCCACCAACCAGCAGAGATGACAGTGTGCACACACAAAAGCTTCTGCGTCTATGAGACTCTGCATCGTCGGCGTGGATCATGATTGGAACAACCTCCTTGAGGTTTGTTGCCTAGGAACGCTAGCTGTTGTTTTTTGAAAGTGTGTAGCAATAGTACAGCATGATCAACCCTCAGGCTTTCACTGGGTTTGACAGCACTGGATGCTGATGAAACCAAGATGTGTTCTTGTTCCGCTCCCAAAAGGCCAATAGTACCTCCCAAACAGTGGCAGCTAGCTTTACATGTTGTAGCTTCATACTTCACCTGAAAAGGGTAGCTCTACACTAGCAAGTCCAATTGCACCAAAGGGCGTGTTCATCATCACCTAGAAAGCGTTGTTGAAAGAGCTTCTGATCATATGCAAAAATTGACCCAAACCTCACGCACTGCGCACCAATGTTTTCTGTACACACACACACAGTGTAAGCATGTGCCAGCACATGTTGTGTCAAGAAGCAATTCTGATGGCAAAAACATTGGCATTGTGCCCAGTTCGTACTCAGATTGTTCATCTCGCCCAGGATCAAAGATCACCACTGGAATCCTTATGTGTCTGGACTTGGACGATTCCCATGAAAAAAACATAGCTCAAGATGGAAATTCTCAACTCACACCAATCATGTGCATTTCCCACCAATAGCGCATAATGTCAAGGCTCTGAATAGGCCTGGGCAACATGTCCCTCCATGGTTGCCGGTCCAGCCACTTCCAGAACATGCGTGGTCCATTTGTAGCATGTCCACGGTCAAAACGGAGAAGCTCCCGCAAGGATTTCCTCAAGTCAAGATAGTCAAGTACAGATTGCACAAGTCTTGTAATTACACATCATGGATTGAAACCAGCTCCAGCAGTGTGTGCATACAAGTATCGGCAACAGCCGTTGTGGAAAGCGATTCTTAATGAGAGCAAACATGGTCATCAATGTGGTCAGGCTTACCTGAGAGCTGGAATGAACCAACCCTCAAACACAGGGGGGTGTATCAAGCATAACAAAAACATATTAAGCCAAAGTACTGGTCGCCCAAGTTCTAGGAAGTCTTCCACCAAATCCAACGGATGGGACGCTTTACCGGACATCATACACAACTGCCAGTTCTATGAGCTTGCATATACACAGTTGACATTTGTACATTGTCCAACACTTTACATGCATGCATAGAATTATATAGTATCATTTGGACCACACTCACACACACACACAAAAAACTCATGTCCCCCTAAACCAGCCAAAGCGATGCGCCAGGAGCAGTCCAAAGTAAAGACAAATCGAGGCAAGAAGTCGTGATTTCAGACATGGAGAGTTGGGATGGGCTATTGTTTCAAAGCAGCCCGCCTTTCAGGTCAACAACCCCAATGATCTAGTTACGCACGATGCTTTCATCGTGTTGAAAAGAGACACAAGCCAGGCTCAGGATGTCTAGCAGCTAGCAGCTAGCGGGTTTTGAAGGAACGGCTCATGAACAACTGTTTTCCACAACTCCTGAGGGCTAAGGCTTGTTTCTACCCCTGGAGCCACAGGTGAAAGGATATAGGCATACCCACATCAAATCACCAGACTTCAAACCTTTTGTCGATTTATGTTGATTTGTTTGTGGCATATGTTTCCAAAAGAATCAAAACACCAACTGCTTGAAAGGGATGGGCAGCCTACTTCCCTTCCTCCTCCTCCGATGCATCGTCTTCAGATGATGCAGCACTATGCTCTTCAGCGGGTGCCTTCTTTCGAGGCTGGGGGCCTTTTGCCAAATTTACGCGGCGCTTCGCGTCTCGCACATCATGCTCCACCACATTCACCTCAAAAGTGCAGGCAGTATGAATGGGTCAAGATTGTTTAAATACATTGGAATGAACTGCTTGCTGAAAGCTATATTTTCAATTGAGCCACCCAAGATTTCTGACTGTTGATGAACTCTCGGGCCCTGTCAACATCGATAGCAGAAACCGGCTGGTTGGCCAAGTCTTCAGCTTGTTCCCCATGATCTGGCATCAACACCTTGTGAGCCTCCAATGCACGCACCTGAGACATGAACACGGGCCCTTCGTGTCAAATATGTTTGACCCCTTTTGCGAAGTGGGAGTAGTGGAGACATGTGGAGAGCTTAAACTCTTCTAGGCACCAGCTCCGTGGAGTTCTGAACTTTGTAGGTATCCAGGTCAGCGAGGCACTGGTCAAGATCAGTGTTCAACTTCTTCAACCTGAGATTGATATTTCGATATATGCGCACGGTACACATGCATACAACATGCATGCAGTGTAGAAGCTTGTTGTTATAGGCCTTTGCATCTTTCAGTGCATTCTCTGCCGGTGTCTTCTCTTTGGGCGTCTTCTTCTTTTTGGTTTTGATCTCAGCAGTCTTTAGATCCATCAGAGTCTTGCTCTCTAGATCCTCAAGTCCACGGCCCAACTCCTTCGCTACTAGTTTTTTTGCCTCCTTACTTCTTACTCTCCCACCCACCTTGATACTTGTGGTGCCACGACTCCCAGTTGTCCGCTCCTCAAGCACATCCTTGAGAATCTTGTACATCTTGGCCTTTGGGTGTGCACTCTGTGGGTGCTGCACACCAGCCTGACCTGAGGGGCAGCCCGAATATATCAAAAACTCTTATTATACATGGGGTTCAAACCTTGCCTTTAACAAGATCTTTGATGAACTCTTTGGCAGCCTTCCCCTTTCCAAACTTTTTCTCTAGCTGAAAAATTGTCATCGTCACATATCTGTCGCGGCGGCTCTCCTCCGCATACCGGATGTATTCTTCCTCCACTTCTATGGAGTCAACCCCATTGTTGGTGATGAAGGTTTTCAACATTGTGAACCTCAGCAACTTCATCGTCATAAAAATATATTGCATATATATATGCAACAACCCCTGCAATCGAGAAGCCGGTCGGTATCTGAACACATTTGCCACTTCGAAAGAAGTCCGGGGTTGGCGGATCGATGAACTGCCCGACGAAGGGCACTGTACTGTCTCTTACGCTCATCAGGGCTCATGTCAGCTGGTGAAGCCATGGCCAAAATGGCCTCCTTTTCTTCAGGAGTTGGGTCCTTCAAACGCTTTGGCACCTTTTTTCCTGCCAAGATTTACAGAACAACCTACATGATCGTGACAAACTGCTAAACCCAAACACGAGCATGCATATATTTAAGGGGTCCTCCGTTATTCTTTTTGGATCCACTGGTATCGGTGCTTCCCGGTGATGACGAGGTGGCTGGTGTGCCAGCACGGGTTGAAGGAGTTGCACTCTCTCCCAAAGCGGCCACAAGATCCACGCTTGGCATAGTCTTGACAGTCTCAATGGGCTTTGGAGTGGCGGTGGGAGCATGCGCAGCCTCCAACAAAACAAACATCACAAATTTGGTCTGGTGCAAGGCTAGTGTGCGCCAGTTCTAGGATAGGAGGATATAGGCGGTCAAAAAAGAAGCCTGCCTCAGCAGCACTGAACTCACCATCAGATCCCGAAAGCTCATCGTCAACCTCCGGTCTCATTCTCTTCTTCTCAGGGGAAAGTCCAGTCGGTCCACCAGACTTGCGCTTCTCCTTCTCCACATTTGCAACTTTCTTCCGCTTTGACACCTTCCCTTCATCGTCATCCTTCTTTTTCTTCACAGCCTTCTTGGAAGTCTCATCCTCCGTTGAAGTCTTCTCAGCCTTCTTGTCTTCGTTTGCCTTCTCTCGCTTCTTTTTCTTCTTCTCAGC